AATGAACAGTGTAATTAAACTGTTTTGCATCAGGCTTTTTAATGCATTATTGAGCTAATAATTAAATTGCTTGAAATTTAGCCAAACTGTTTTATGAGGTAGACTCTTTCTTGTAAACACAATTATCAATCTGAAATTCAGACTGATACACAAATAAACAGCTGCTAAATAACACCTCAACATTAGCAAAATAGAGGAAAAATGGTGAAATTATTCTCTAATTGTAATATTGCTCCAGCTATTTCTTCTAAAGTGTATACAGTAAAACTTTTAATAATAATATAATAATCAAGTCACCGGAGTTTAAAAACTGGAGTTCTCCTTCAAGTAAGTGATGGCAACAAATATCCTAACTACCCAGCTCAGATGTAAAAAGGACACCTTTCATCGTTGCAAGCTAATTTGCAAAGCTAAGGTGATACAACATTAATATAATTTGCATTAAAATCATTGAACTAACTTAGATTGGAGAAATTGACTGCATATGAATGTTATAAAGGTATATATTTTTAAAAGCTATGTGTAGTCATTCCTATTAAGGTTGTATAGAGACAGACCATTTAGAATTTGTTTCCTGCACAAAATAATAGAAATTATTTTTTCTTGAATTTCAAAGTACTCTTTCTATAACAGGCATTTAATGACATTCTGAACAATTGTGAAAGAAACAAATGGAAATAACAAAGTTTTAAAATTTCTATGGCAGCAAGATATACAAGTAAACTTGTTATTCAGAAACAAAAATATCATTTAATATTGTTAAACTACAGAAAAATGCAAATGTGTAGCTCAAGCTTATACTCCTGAGTTAAGAAAACTGCAATGTAGATGTATCTTTACTTCGTGTTATGTATACCCTGTCATTTTCTGCTGCAAGTTAAAAACGAATATTACAGCTCTCCTATAATATCAGAAGTGCACTGTCTGGCCCGGGTTGTTTTATATTATTTGTCTGTACAGGACTTGTTTTGTTTTGTCTCTTTGGTGTTGTTTTGGAAAATCATATTGGAAATTCATTATTATGATTTTGCCAAGGATAATACTGCTGATATTTACTATTTGTTCTCATGCTGTACTAATAGTTGTACTATTAATAATTGTACAAATTTAAAACAAACTCATTGGTTAGACTTACAATTGGTGAGAAAGCAGAAAACAATTTTCCATCTAAAAATATCCGAATCTTAGCAAGGATTTAAGAGACTTTTTGCCAGTAGTTTAATCACAAGGATTTTGCATTTTATAAAGAAAATATGAAAGTAGGACTGTGTAACAGAGAAAGTCATAAATATAGAAGTAAAATTGCCAGAAGAAATGTAAAATAATTTAAATAATTTATGAAAACTAAAAGCACTTAGGAAAACTAAAAACAAAAATGGGAACTAAATTCCAGAAATTGATAAAATTAGCAAAAATTTAAAATAAACTTTGTTTTGTCTCCCTAGGATTTTGTTTATACTTCCAAACTTTGCTGCACAAAACTAGTGCTATTGACTTGATTTACTCCTTTTCAAGTACAAAAAGGTCATAATTGTAATATCACAGCTACTTCTCCAACATGAGAATGTCAGTAATCAAATAAGTTTACAAGTATTTCAAACTAACTACAAGTACACCAAGCGTTTCGTTTCTAAACACCACTTATGTTCTTGATTACCCAGCAGAGAGTAATATTTTCAAAAACAGTTCACCTTGATGTAGAAATTAAGGAGCCATCAACAACCTATGTGCCATCATAGAAAGACAAAGTCTCCCTCTTGGCTGTGGCTGGAACTCCACTTCAAAGGGGGTCTGTCACAAGATTTCTCCCCTCTTCTCAGGCCCGTCCGGGCTGAGCTGCATGACAACAGTAAATACCAATTACAGGAAGGCCCTTTCTTCTGATTTTAGTTTAGTTTCTTGCCAACATTTTTGTTTCTAAGGTTAACTAACATAACAGACATTTTCAATAAACATCAATTTTTGTTAAGAAGCCAGGAGAACCTACTGAATCTTTTTGTCTAGCAAATTTTTCTTTATCTGCTATAGGCTATCTTAGTAAGTTTCCAGTGTTGTTTGATGTATAAAACTACAAGAGTCTAAACTATGAAAAAAGTCAAGGCACCAAAAACTAACTACACGCTGTCCCCCATATGTAAAGTAGTATTGTGCTTCAAGATGCGGAGCCAATTCTAGCAGAATAACAATGTCAAGTGTTGTGAGGAGAGGAAATGGGAGAGGAGACTAGAGTAGGAGAGGGAGAACCATCTCTTTTCACTACTGTATTCCCTTTGAGAGTATTTGTCTTTTTCTTTCTTTCTTTTCTTTCTTCCTTTCTTTCTGCTGAGTACCAACATGAGGACAGAGACTACTAAGAAAACTCCCGAGAAATACATTTTTTTGTGACATACAGTCAATAGTATTTACCAACCTACTAACTATAAATTTCCATTCACAATTTGAGCAGAAAATAATTGGAGGAAATGAGTTTGATGAAAAAGGAGTATCAAACTATTTTCTCTTTAGATGCACATGTACACATTCCTCAGAGTGTTACCAAACTCATCTGTGCACATCCAAACAGCACTTACATTTCAAAGGACTCAAACAGCCAGGGAAAGACACAATAATTGATATAAGAAAATGCTGAAGATTTTTTTTTCTTTCAGAACATTTCATGTCCAGGAAAGGAATTCTGCTTGGCTTATGATGTTCCTCAGCAGTCAGAAAGTAAATTTTGGCAGAGATTCTGTTTTGTTTTGTTTTTCATTTAAAGATGGGAAACTTCCAGACGTGAGTACACTGATAAACTGAACAACAAAATAGAGTATAACCACTTATAAAATTGCCACATTGGAGTTCTACAAATAAAATATCGCAAGATAAAATGGATAACTTGAAAGCAGAGTAACAGTCATCTGAAAAAAAAATACAAGCACTTTTTCTGGCTTGGACAACTCATTAACATAAAGTGTATGGTAACGGTTTCATTTTTTAAATGTGTCTAAACTTGAAAAATATAATGGTTGGCAAGAGGCTTTCATAGTCATAGACATTACGACAACTACATTTACTTATCTCACCTTTGATTAAAGTTTAAGATTACTTTCTGCTGATATTAAGCTAATAAGTAGTAAAAAATACAATTTAAAGTAAAACAAAGTTTAAAACCACATTGTAAAATGATCCCAGCATTTGAATGCCCTTCACCCTAAAGGCTTCTCTGTGTAACATTAGTTTAAAAATTGTAAGTGGGCAGTTCCAGTGCAGGTGACCTAGCTCAAGTGTCTCAAGTTCAGGAATGACCTGTAAAAGTAGCGTCATGTCAGACTGTGGCAATACCACAGTTAATGTTAAGACAATAACTGATGTCTGTAAACAACTGGTAGAACCTAGCATTTCATCCCTCAGTCTGTCTTTTAAAGTATTGTCCACTCCTCTGGTTGTCATTTTCTTCCTGTGGGTGCTCAGATGTTTTTTTTTTTTTTCTTCCATTTTCTTTGCATAAGGATACTGAAATGAGTCCAGTTGCTGATTAAAATAATAAGACAAAATCACCAATGGCATTCAAACCACAGGACTGAAACCAAGAAAAACCAAGAGAAAGATAACGCTGAACTGTTCTGAGATCCAGGTTAAATGTTGGTGGTTATCCTTTTGTGTTTAGACACAGTCAAATCTCACTTAGGGAATAATTTTCTTTCTTCTGCTCCAGCTCCCAGCAAACTTTACGAATGTCTTTGCTACCCTCTCACCCCACGTTTTCAGATTTTGCTCACACTTGCACACTCCTTTGTCTTTCGTCTTGTTCAGCACCTAGTGTGAGTTCATAAGGTGTAAGTTCTTTGTTCTGCAGGAACATTTGTAAACCACGACATGACAAATTTTAAAAGCCATCTTATGGGTTTGCATTTTTCAAAAGCTTCGCATTTTTACGAGTTTACCATTTTCACCTGCTTTTCACATCCACAAAGATTTTCATATTCCTTAAACAGGTTATTTTCCCAACACCACCAAAAAGATCCGTTATAAACAAGTAAAAATACTTGAAATTTCTGGGTCTCTCTCTCTCTCTCTCTTTCTCTACCTCTCTCTCTCTCTCTCTTTCCTTTCATATCAGGGTAGTGACAGAAGAATAAATCCTAAGTCAGATTCTGGCCTTGGGAACAAAGAAAAGATATCAGTAATGAAGGTGCAAATAAAATACGAAACATTTTTTTTTTTTAGCAAATACACTTCTCTTGCTCAATTTCCACCCTGAGAGTAGAAACAGCATACTTACAAGCCAGCATCTCTGTTAGGCAGTATCTCTGTGTGTGCTGTCTCTCTTCTTTGGACTGGGATAGTTTGAGCTAATTTGGAAGTGTCCGTTAGGTTGCCTACAAAATGATGCTTTAAAGGATCTAGCGACGCATAAATTAGAGAGCCCTACAATGGCAGAGGACGGTCATTGTACCTCTTCTCTTTATGTGCTCTTATGGTGGGACCCAAGAGCCCCCTTTTTTTTTTTAACACTTTAGATGATGGAGCCAGTGAGGGGCTGGTAGCTAGAAAGGAGGTGAGCCCCGCAAATCATCCCCCTCCCAAACTTAGCAGCTGGTTGTCCCCCCTACCCTCGACATTTTACTGAACTTTGCAACAAAGTCTCTTTAGGAAAACTCCCAGTCTGGATGAAACTAGCGAGGGGGTCCTTCGCCGGCCTCAGAGTTTCTGTTTCTCGAAGGCTAAGGCAACACGGATAGATAGACGTGGCGCGAAGGACGAAGATGGCAAAGGGGGGTGATGGCTTCAAGAAACACCCCACTGGCCCTTTACCTATTTTGCCTCCGTTATGGGGAAGGGGGGCGAGAGAAAAAGATGTCAATGACCATTGTTTGCTCGTTGGGGATGTTGCTCCGCCCCCCGAGTCTGTCGTAAACCTGGCGCTGGACTAAAATAAACCCGAGATCCCGCAGCTCGGGGGCTCGACGCGCCGCGGACAGCTCTCCACTGGCGCTGCCGCCGGGCCGAGGTGGCGGGCGACGAGCGGCCGCCACGTCCCGCCCGCGCCCGCCCGGGGCCCCCCTACCTGGCCGTCCGCCGAGCCATGTCGTTGAGCCCCAAGCACACGACGCCCTTCTCCGTGTCCGACATCCTGAGCCCCATCGAGGAGACCTACAAGAAGTTCGGCGGCGGCGGCATGGACGGCGCGCCTCCCGGCCTGGGGGCGCCCCTGGGGGCCGCCGCCTACCGCGCGCCGCCGGCCGGGCCCTCCTCGCTATAGCCTCAGACCCGGATCGGAA